TCTTTTTTCTTTTGGTTCTTCATTATGTCTCTTTCCATCTCTCTTACGAATGTCATTCTCTTTTACTTTAATCCATTTATTGTGTTTATGAATGAAATCGTATTGGATTCCATATTTTCCGATTGATTGTGAAAAATCAACATGAATTCTACGTTCGTCAATAATGACATTATCCATCTTTTGATATGCATTTTCACACCCTTCTTTTGTTTCAAATTCAATAAACCCATATCCTAGTGATTTCTTGGTTTTCCTGTCTCTGATGATTTCAACACTTCTAATCTTACCATACTTTCTGAATATTTCTTCTAAGTCTTCTTCATTTGTGATTGGATTCATTTTACAAATGAATAACACATTTTCTGGTGGTTTGATTTCTGCAAATGGTAAATCCCCTATCATTTCAAGAACTTCTGCTCGACTCTTTGCTTCGTTTTCTTTGATTTTCTTTTCTGTATCAGAGTCAATTTTTTCTATCATTTCATTGATTTCTGGATGGTCATCAAGTATAAGTTCTGGTGCTTTTGGTTTAACAAATCCTTTTGGATCGTCATAAGGGTCTTCAAATATTTCAATACTAATGATTCTGATGTTTTGGTATGGTCGATAATTCTCATCTACATTAACTTTGTTAATTTCTTCTATCACTTCCATCCCTTCTTCAATTTGTCCTATTGCTATTCCGTTTATTCCACTCATTCCATTCCCTGTGGTGATGTACACTTCTGATCCAATTGTATTCTTACCATGTGTAACAAACCCTACAATTCCTTTCTTATCATTCTTTCTTTTTGTTTTTGGTTGACATACAATGTACTTATGTTCAATCCCTTCCATAACTCCTTCAAATGAATTTCCTCCTTTTCCCATTGTTATGTCTCCAAATTGAATTGCATAATCTTTGATTACTCGATAAATGATACAATGAAGATAATATTCAATTTTACACAGTTTAATGAAATTATAACATCCTACTGGATTATCTTCTGTGAATAAGTCAATTACAACATTCCCAAGACTTGTTTCAATAAACACACTCATTTCTTTTTTTCAAGTTCTTTTTGTTTATTTCTATTATTTGTATTGTTTATTTAAAAAAGAAGTGAATTAAAGATTTTCGATGATGTAGTCAATGTGGATGCAATACATTATCATTGTACTGATAATGTCACTGTAACATTTCTTGATACTTTCCTATTTTCTTATTTTCTTGTATTTTCTATAAAATACCATATTTAACAAACAATACTTCTCTTTCCTTGTTCATTCAACTGATAGTTATCATCATAGCATTTTGTGATGATATTGTAATGTGCATCTTCTATTAATTCAACTTGTTTTATCAAATATTCATATCCTTTCTCTGTTTCTTTGATTTTTGTTCCAATTTCTTTCATGATATTCATTTCTCTCTGATAAAACTCCTCAACATCTTTATCATTCATTCCAATCATCTCATTAAGAATCTTTTCCATATCATTTCTGATTGTTTTATATGTTGTGGTTATTGGTTTATTTCCTATTTGGAAAGTAATTGTTGTCATGTTCTTTTTTATGATTTATCAAGTTCTTACAACTAAAAAACAAAAAATATCAATGACTTTTAACTTTGAGCAAAGAATTTATCTGTCTTCTCTTTCTTAATTGTAATCTCTTCTTCATTAGTTGTTTTATTTTGTATTATGTTTTTTATTTACATTGTATTTATTTGATAAATTAAATGATGAAGTATACAATGTAATTAACTTAAATGAAATCAGTCCTATCATTAATATTTGTACTGTAGTGCTAGTTGTAATGATATTTTCTTGTATTTAACTATTTTAAAAATTATAGTCAATTTACAGTAATGTGATGATTAAATAAATATTAGTATACACTCATTATAACAACCGATTATATTTTTATATTCAGAATGATCAAAGAGTTCTTTTGTACCTATGAACATATACTTTCAATTGAGAATACTATTAATTGAATCTCTATGTTTGCATAAATTCTTAGAATTGAATTGGTTATAATAGTTAGAACACAACGCTATTTCATAATTATTTAATTGTTTCACATATATTTCATTCAATAAACTATAAACACTCATTCATTTAAATAATTAACATGATGTTGTATTCAATTTTCATGGGGTTGGATATAGTATATAACAATTATTAGTGAATATATTTTCATTCCTATTTCTATACTGTATTAGATATCACTAATAATGAACGATTATATTCGTTATACATTCAATTCTCAATAATATTGTGAAGAATTAATTTTATTTTTATTACAAAAGGTTTGTTGAAATAATACAACAAAAAACTAAACGAAAAATAAATTGATTATGATAACTGATTTATTCAAAAGTATCATCAAACCTTTGAATAAATCCAATACCACAATAAAGTGTATCTGTTTTACTCTCTTTATCAGGGTCATATTCATTGGATTGATCTTTAAGAATTTGACTAGTGCTCTGATATACTTCTTGCTGTTGGTGGATAAATTTCACCCTTGAAACATCACAAAATGGACGATAATCAGTACCTACCATTATTGGTATTGGAGGCACACATGTACATGGACAAAAAATAATTAAATGTACTAATCTATTTTTTGTTATTAAACAGGTACCTTGGTTATCAGCACAAATACTTTGGTATTGTTCATTTAACCAACTTTCATTTCCAACAAGAAGATATTTACATGGTGGACCCTGTCCCCTCTTTTTCATCAGAAGAGAACAAAGCAAACGATACATTGGAGTCCCAATGGTATCTTTCATTTTGTTGTAATCAACAAAATTAACTAACTCTCCTTCTTCATTTACTAAAGGAATTAATTGATATCGAAAACTACTAAGATTCTTATTAGACTTTTTTGTACTAATTATTTTAATACCTCTAGCATCCATTTTTTCAAATTTGTTATAGAATGCATTAAGAATGTTCATTATAACAATCTCCTTGTATTTCTTATTATTCATTCTGGAGCGATTTTGGTTTTCAATTGATATTGGAATACCTTCATCATTCAGAATTAACACAACACTACCATTTGGTAATGTTTCTATCTCATAGTCTTTTTCGTCACTGAATACTAACACACCATTTTTATCCCACATCTTGTTTATTGGGAAAAAATGGTCGTAGGATTTTGCTGACCTTTTTTCTGATGAGAAAAGAATTGTCCATCCTTTCATGATTAAGTAATAACATCCACAAATTACATACAGTCTTTGGTTCTGTATTGAGATTTGTTTGGATACTTTTGATTGCATAGGTTTAGTTTTCATGCTCATCTTTTGATAGTTTTTTGTTTTTCATTTCTTTATATTTTAGATTTAAAAGAAAATAGAACTAAATATCATTTAAAAGAACTTGAAAAAGTTTGATGCAATTGATGATTCTTTTGATGTTATTTTGATTGAAATTTTTTGTAATAAAATGAACAGACAAGAGCAATAAAATAAATTATCAATAATTATAAATTTAATCAATAAAGCTAAACTGAAAATATTAAAAATTTATTTGTCACTTATTTTGAGATATTTACAATCATCACAATTAACAACGAGACAAAAACAACAATTGTTTGTATTCTTAATGAATAAACAAAACTCCTTCTACATGAATTTTAAATATTTCCTGTTTGAAAATTATTATTTTATTATTATTTTCTTTTAAAATATTTTACTTTACTTTATTATTACTTTTTTTTTCAATTAAAAAATAAAAAAGAAATGATTATATTCATTTATTCTTTCTATATTTCTTATTATTTTATTCCTTTATGTTACATTGTATTTCTCTTGATATTGTATATTATAAATTATTTATTAATCATTTAGACTTTCATTTAATCTATTCCATGAATGGAAAGTAAATCATTTTGTAGTTTAGGTTTTAATTGATGAAAATATGAGACATAACATATGTTTTGATAATTGTTTCAATTACTTATATATCATCACTTCAACGATATTCAAGTGTATTTGATGTATTTCAAATCAAATGATTTACACTTTGAAATGATAAGATTATACTTCATTAATTAAGTTAATATTTTTCATTATGACTTGATTTTTTAATTGATTAAGTAATACTGAATCAATTTACTGAACAAGATGATATTTTCAATATAATTGGATAATGACTATGATAATTATAATAAATGATGAAATAGTAATATGTTATTTTTTATTATTACTTTTTTATTATTATTATTATAGTCACAACTAACATTTGTTAACAAGACAACTACGGTTCATAATTTTAATTTTTGACATTCATTATTAATTGTTTACTAGATTCAATATCTTCAAGTAAATATATTTTTAATGATTATTACGTTTTAACTCATTTCAAATTCATAAATATTAAGCATTGATTCAAATGGAGTTTAATTACTAAATTATAATCATAAACAAATCGTTTTACTATGATTAATCAAATATAATTTCAACTCTTTTTTTAGAAAATATGGTTATAAAAATCATTTAAATTTATTATACAAATTATTAAAGATTATATATTAGTGTGACAACCATTCAAGATGAACACGTGTTAGTAGAATAAAGAAATATCAAACGAAGACATTTTGTCATTGGGATATTGATGAATCCACTAGAGATTGAAGAATTTTACATACTTTTCAATAATTTGACAATTAAACACAACTACTTACAACTCTAGACAATCATTAATTCAATTTTATACTACTTTATTACTCATAATATCACTTATTTTTAGTTAAAATTTATCATAAATATTTAAGACTATTAATAATTTATTTTTAATCAATTCTATTGTCAAAATTAAATAAACTAAGATTTAAAAACTACTCAATGTCAAATAAAAATTAGAATTATTCAAATAACTAATAAATAAATACAAATACTTATTGAATATTTGAAGTTCTCAAAAAAGGTTAATAATAACCACCACTTTAATAATATTTCATCCAAGAAAGAA